GTAAAAATCAGTTTACTGAAGTTCATATCTATGACTATTTTTTCTTATGTGCATAATTAAGGAATACTAATACAGTGAAGCCAACTTAAAAAGATACATTTATTATGGGTAAAAGCATTAAAAAATACTAAAACACAGCTTCACAATATAGCTATAAAGCATAACCAGTTACCTATCTTGTAGGTGCCTTTTTGTTTATTAATGTGTTCATTTAAAAATTTATTAGATAACTGGCATGGACTATACGTGGACATTTCAAGCCAACATGAAGCAAAAAGTTGATAAATAATGCCACAGTAGAACTTTTAAAAAAGAACTAGAGAGCCTTGAGGCTGTTTTTTAATCATTTATTTTTATTTATTTTGCAAAGACTTTTCATTTGTGTTTTTTAATACGTAAATACACTTGGGAGAGAAACAAACAGCACATTTATGAAACATTTTGATGGGAACTAGCTTGTAACTGTTTTGAGACTAGACTGCTTTAAAGGTCAATATCTACTATTCGTCTATTATTTCTACAGTTGAAGAAGCACTACATATTCACATTCTATTTAATAAAAATTAAACCTCTCATCTCTTCTTTGAGGCAACAAGGCTCTCAAAAATAACTTTTTAGTTCGCGTTGCACAAAGGGGTTTTGTCACTGAAAATTTACAACACTGCAACCAAGTGTAAATGTATCTTCAAGGCTGGCATATGTCACAGTTTAGGATGTAAAACCAAATCTTATGGCATTCTCAATAGATTTGAGAAATCCAATTGTTTGGCCAACATCCAAGTATGAATAAGTACATAGATAATACACACATAGCATAACAGGTTATATGTACACAGATATTTGCATGTCATGCAAGAGAATACTGCACAATTTAAAACTAGTCTATCACAGTTTTCATCCGAAAGCCTTTAAAACTCAGAGTTAGTATAATACTCCTACTATCAAGCAACTCCCACAAAAAGGAGCATAAATGACACAGTGGGAAAAGTAGTGGAGAAAAGACAGAGAAACTAGATTTGGGTATTGCTTCTTACTCTACTCACTAGCTGAGTGATCCTTCATTAGTTAAGCAGGATCAGGTTCCATATCTATAAAATGAATAGAGTCTGATAATCTTTAAGACTACATAAAAAATTCTCTTTCTTTAATTAAAAAAAATTGAGTTCACTTGAAAGAGAAAATAAAAATATAAGGAAATTTCTCACATGCTACGTTAGATGTTTATCTATATATAAGAGACAGGTGTCAAACAAACAAATAAAAAAAAAATAACCGCTAAGGCAAAGAAAGAGAAACTTTAACTCACCAGATTCCATCTGTTACATTTGAATTCATGCATAATTGATTATCCATGACTGGTAAATTCTTTTCTCACTAGCCGACCACAATTTTCTAAATGTTGTGTATTAAATCACTACTAAAGTAGACTGCATTTCAGAAGCGGCATGGGGCAGAATAAGAATATTTTAAATGAAAAATTACATGCCGGTTAGTAATAATACAGCTGACCTATGTTTAAGGGAGAGAAATTTTAATCATGTGCATATCAAATATTAATAACCTATTCTGTTATTGTTATAATAAGGTTAAGTAGGCTTCTCCATGTTTAAAGAAAGAGGGAGAAGTAGGAATACATAATAGTGCAAAAAGATACAGAGACAGGAGACAGACATAAGGAAAATGTGTCAACAATAAACAAGAGGAAATGAGAAAGAAGGAAAAGATGAAGGTGGAAACTAATCTCTATGTGTCATTATGACTGCCAGAGTACTGGCAAAGAAGCAGCATCCTTTTATTTCAATTTTAATCATTTCTGAATTTTAATACCCGGCTCCTTTTGTAATTCTCCTGGCATTCCCCATATGCCTCCATCCCAGCCAAAACACCAGTGTAAATTAAATGGCAGGCAACCACACCACTGATGTAGCCTCCCCAAAGAACTTACCAGGTGACCAAAAGCAAAAAAGGTATGTCTACCTTATGTCCCTGAGGACCTCTAGTCAATTAACTGGCTGAATGTTTTCTACTTTCTTTAATTTTGAAAAGCAGGACAGTAGTTAGGTAATCTACAGACAGAGAATCATTAAAAAAAATAAAGCAAGCCAGTAGTAATACAATAATCAGTGACCATCAGGGCCTGGAAAAATGAGTTTGCTCTCATTGGCACTAAGGAGCATCACATGATTATTTAATTACAGCTCTAATTTTTGTCTCGTGGATGGCAACATATCAACAATTAATAGGGCAAATAGAGGAGACTGTGTTTTTAAAGAGACAGAATGTGCATGATAATGTAATAGGTCACACAGCAGTGTACCACTTAAGAAATTCAGTCTTTTGTGTAACTAAATAGGACTGTGTTACAAACAGCCCCATTCATATTTTAAAATGAAAATAAATTTTAAAAGGAGGTGTCTTTGTTAGATAACTTTCATAGAATGGCTAGAACTTTTCAGAATGTTTGGGATGCAGTTAACACAATCCTATTGCAATTTCAGAACTAGTTTTAAGGAATGGAGTAAAATATTCATTAACATAAACACCTCAAATCTTAGAATATTTTTAAACAATGTATTTAAGCTGCAATGAAAAATATCTTTTTATTTAATAATTGCAATCAATATTTATTCAATGGGACCCTGAAAAAAAATCATTATTATAGGAAAGAACAGATAGAGGTCAATCAGCCTTGAGCCACTTGTCCATAGTATTTTTGGCTCTGGAATAACAGAAGGATGGCTACTTGGTGGCTAAATTGCAAGGAACTCAGGGGAGTGCTCTGTTTGACTCCAGTATTGTTTATTATTACAACCAAACACCAAGGAATGACGCTGAGCAGGGATACTTAACCTAATACTGAAGGTCAGACAATGAGGCTAGAACAGAGACCCTGATGCTGGCAAAAAAAAAAAAAAAACAAAAAAAAAACCAAAAAACCATTCAATTATCCAGAAAGTGAAACATATGCAGATTAAGTGTTCAGATAACCCCAGTAAAAACAGAAAATTAGAAAGAAAAGTCTCTTCGCCAATAAATATTTATCATCACAAGCTACATTATATATTTTATTAATTTTTCAATTTTTAATGAGTGCTCAGTATGTACACATCACAGAATGCTATGAACTTTGTTTTATATAATACAGACATATCTTATTACTTACTTTATTTGTAGTTTAATATCTTATAGAAATATATAGTAGCATCTACAAACTTCAGAAAGTAGAAATACTAGTGAATTGTTAAGAGACATATTACGAAGTTAGAAAATCTACACATTCCGATCAACCAAGATAATTCAAATAGTTAACCAACTTGATAGAATAGTCTAAGTAAGGCTAAGTCTATCTTTAAGTCCCTCTAGTTTCAGTCACCCATTGTTTTGCCATGCCAGAAGCCATAGTGAAAATCCAGGTTTGAGATTTAGACAATGAAATAATCTTAGAACTACCTCTGAGATTAACTGCTGAAATGTATTTAAAATATTAGGTTATATAGAGTTGTAAGTAATCACAATTTGGCTAAAGAAAAAGTGACTAAAATTATTCCACAAAAAGAAGTATTAAGAAAAACAAAATCAATTGAATAAGTTTTTAATGGATTATGTTGGCCAAAGTCATCAAAAGAAAAAAAAAAAAAAACAAGAAAACATGGTATCTCGAAATATAATTTGGAAAGACTAAAACCACTGAGGGGCAATAATTTCTAATGACACTGGCAAAAACTATCAAGTGAACACTATAGAAAGAAAAAAAAAGAGAGAAAAATTTTATAATCAATGAAAAGTTTTAAAATTAAGTTGCTTCAGTAGAAAACATTTGATGATTCTGAACCAAAACTCTGACTCCATACATTCTGAAAGAATTTTTTAAAGAGTCAAGCAAGCAGCCGCTTGTATGTAAGAGTATACATCATTCTTTTTTAACATGATTGTTAATATATAGTTAACATGTCTCAGAAAAGGCTGTAATTGTCTACTGCTCTAATAACACTAATAAGCATAAAGTATTATGAAAATACAGTGATTCTATACAAACTGTCATTGTTAAACTTTTAAGATAATGTTCTAAATTGTTTCTGAGTCCTCTTAAACCACCCAAAGGGAAATACAACTCTAAGAAATTTTTTAAAGCATAGTTATTAAAATATTGTTTTTTCCTCCCACAGTCTGGAGATAACTGTCTACCATTAAACAGTATATCTAAATATCATTTCGGTTGGTGAAAATACAATGGGAAGTATTTGAATTATTTTATAAATTCTATAGGTTTTTAAAAATTTTTAAACTGTATGCATTTTAAATTAGTAATTCATTCACTGATAAAATATTTTCTGGGAGAAAGAAAGGCTTGCTATATCAAGAATCACATAGTCCTCTTGTTAATCCCCAGTGATTTCCATTGTTTGTTTCACTGGAACAGGAAAACTCAATTGCATTCAATATCAAACAGCTAATTATGGATATGCTATATTCAAGACTATCTCCATTTCAAAGATATCTGCATACACTAGGTTCTATTTTATTTATAATAATTATTACAATAAAATATTTATAACATAAAACCTCTTTTGCCTTAAAGTCCTTAACATTATAAACATTAAAAGGCCAAATTGTCATTTACATGCACTTAATGGCGTATCAGGAACCACTGAATAAGACTATAGAGGAATCTCTAGCAATCAACTCTACTACATGCCTAGCTTCCAGGAAAATTGCATCTAAAGAATGCCCCCTCACACAGATTACTGACTACCTTTTCTTTAAATATTTCAAGAAGTTTTAATAATTCTCCCTGGGAACTTGCTACTGTATCTTACCACCCAAAAAAGAATGCCCATGGAAGAATTTTTCTTAGTATCTGGTCCCAAATTTTCTAGAGCTGAGAAAAAGCAACATCCCAACAGAAAGACCTCCCCCGAAACACTCAATGCCTATCTGTCACTGTGGCTGGAACCCTGATTCTCCCTATATCACATTATAGGAACTTTTTTGGCACTTACCCTCCAAATAATCAGAAGCTGCTCTCTGAATCTAGCCCTACAGGAGACGTCTGAAAAAGTAGTCTTTGATGAGGTGACAATGATGAAGTTCTCGCTGGCACTGCTAGCAAGGCAGAAACATCCCCAAATGAGGTGGTTACCAGTTGCCTCTGAAGCAGCTGGACCATTACTGCAGTTCTGAGGGTGCGTCACAAATCAGGTCATAGCTCTGTGTAGAGTCCACCCACTTCACCCAGTATAACGCCCTCTACTTCCTGCACACCTGTGGGGGAAGGGGTGCAGAGGAGGGGGGGCCAGCTCAAGTCCACAGACATACTAGTAAAGGCACAACCAGGTGCAGCCTGACATCTGCTTCTTCTGCAAGCATTTCAGCCTCATCTGGGGACCTGCACCCCTAGGTATTCAAAAATGTGTGCAACAATAAGCAGGCTCTAAAATGAGTGATGAGTGTAATAAAATATTGCACAGTTAAATGTTTTATCCAGGAAAATCTCTCCTCCACTGGAAATTGAACCAACTCTTAATTTTTGATTACAAGCCACTTCTCTACCAAATGTCAAATAACTGGACTGAATAAATTTCAGCAGAAACCAGGGACATAAATCCTGAGGTACCAGTTAACTAATTTTCATCTCTTGTAACTAAACTAGATCACCGCATAAACTGAATTACATCCTTGAAAGTCCACTGAAAGAGGTGATTAGAATTTCGATTATGAACTTTCAGACTGCAACAACTGTAGAAGTGATAAAGAATAACTTGAAAGCATAAAAATAGGCCAATATGTTGGAGAAATTCTACACTACTAAATCTCACCCTGAATATATATACACACAATCTGTATCTATTTACTCTGAAATGAAATCTCTAATCTTAAAAAAGACTTTAAAAAAATAAACAGCAAAAGGTACCATTGGCATAAGTTCAAAAGTATGAAATAATGTGTGCTAATGTGTTGATCACACTCTATGAAGACATCAAGTTTAAATAGACTTACCATTGAGAACAGCAGTTAGGAATGACATATAAATTACTATAGTAGACACCTTTTTTTCGGTATAGTGAAGGAGAAGAACCTTGTGTAACAGATTTGATTTATATGTTGTATTAAGACCATATTCTACCCTGATGTCAGTGGAATATGTGATTAGGTATTGATAACTGTGTATAGGCAGTTAAGTGCAACCGATTCTTAGATAATATAAGTGAAAATAAGCATTTTCTCAAGTTAATTGTGAATTTTGAAATTCAACTTTAACAGTATTTTGATGTTTCAAAGGGATCTTGAAAGAGAAAGGATTTTTAACTTAAAAGAAAACAACAAATACATTTAGTATTATAACAAAGTAGAAATCTCCCTTATTTTAAGGATGGCAGATTGACAAGAAGTCAAATAAAGGAGGTAAGAATATTTTCAGAGAAAAGCTCAGAGTGTCAATCAATAAATCAATCAGTGAGCCCCACTTTTATTCATATTTTTAGAACTCCATGAAAAACTCAAACATTCCACATAAGACTTGGAAGAGAAGACACTTTATTGAAGTTATTATCTGAGGAATCAAATAGTTTAATCTTTTTGGAACTTTGTAGAAAGTTAATTTAGCAAAATACATTTCAATGTGTTTGAACATATTTATCCTGAGGTTGCTTTAAGATGACTATTTTAAGTGGCAGGCAGATTCTTTTGGGGTTTTGATGTTAGAGTTGAGGTATGCAAAGTAAAGATACATAACATTTCTTTCAACTGGTTCTCACACGACAGAAATGAGAAGATGAAATTATTTGTCTTTAAAGTTTTGCCATTGAGAAATGATATGAAAAACTCCTCTCTACCCCTATCCCCAACCAGGAAGAGTCTGAAGCCCTGGATTATAGCACAGGTAGATATTAAAATGGAGACAGAGCCGTTATTTAGTGGTGACAGGAATATAAATATGTGCACTAACCTATAAACTGGTATTTACTTCAGGAAGGTAAGTAATATTTTTCCTCTGATTGCTGCGCTGTCAGTTTAATGCAGCGTAAATAAACAGTAGGTGCCTGCTAGCTCGAAGTAGGAAGTGTTCATTCCACACGAGGAACAGATTACTGAAGCCTGATGCTCATCATGCTGAAACATAACTTTCATTTTACCAGAAAATATACCCTACTGTGGATGATTTTTCGTGCCTGATCTATTAATTAACTTAACTCTGTTCTGTCAAAATGTAAACCAATTTGTAAAAATCATCACAGAGTTTTGGAGTTTGAAAACCAAATCAATTTGAAAAGCAAGAGTAGTGACTGTTCTGTAATCTGATCACAAAAGTGCTAAAAATGAATACTTAATAAGCACAAAGCACACAAAACTGAAAAAGACAAAAAACATTTTGAAATATCATAGAACTTAACAATCTGAGTTATCTGATTTACTCAAGATATTCCTCCTTTGTTAATTAAGGCACCTGGCACCTTTAATATTTTGCAGCCCTGTGCCACTTTGGTCTTTTCAATATGTATGCTCATTCTTCACTCTGAAATATCTAAAAGTAAACCATTCATAAAAATCAAACCACATTCCTTAACTCCAATAGAAATATTGCTGAACTCTCCTGAGAGAAGCGGCAAGTTTAAAGATCAAATGATGATACCCTTCCTAACAGCATTCATGTAAATGTGTTTTTTCTATTTTATGTAAGCCATAAAGCTACGACAGTATATAGCAACTAATTTTCTTTTTATATGTGAGTACTGAGCAAAATATTTCATGGCATCATTTAAAATAAGAACACATCTAAAAAATGTAAAAGGCAATTTGGGGAGGTTTCTATTTATAACATGAACAAAATTCTGATAATCAATATATTGTAAAGGAAAAAGATTTAAAAACATTTTTGCATTCCACTACATTGTGCCTAGAAATAGTCTGATGATTGCTTTAGTCATATGCATTTATTGTATATACTTCATCAATTCCAAGTACTAATATATTAATTACAGTCATCCAAGACAACGTGTATGGAAGAAACAATGTGTGTAAAGGGCATATCTATGTATAGCCCTTTTGGAAATTTACAGAGCAGATGAAAACCCACTAGAGTGCTTTATAGAGTCCCTGCTGTATATCTATGTTGTGTTTAGCGTAATAGTGTTTGTAACCAAAATATTTTTACAATAATGAGGAACAGGTGCCTGTCACCTGACCTTTTAGGCCTAATTTACAATCCACAACCTGTCACATGAAAAAGAACTAAAAATTCTCCTCCAGATATTTCAGTCTTTACTAAGCTAATGTAGTATTTCTTTACCATCACTCAGCATATCATGTCTTATTCAATCACAGGTTCAAATAGCTGGCAACAGATTTCTTTGCAGAAATAAACCAATATTCATTTTGTTGTCATTCTTATTTAAGATGCTGGGAGACAAAAAGAACTACGTTTGTAGATTATCAACCGAAGAATATATTAATTTCTTACAAAACTGACAAAAAGCATTCCTTTTGAATACTTTTACATACAAAGAACTATTATTTATTACATATTTCAGCTTGTGGGAAAGTGAGGAATGCATTGATTCTGGAAATAACTATTCAGACTTTTGGAAGTTTTTTAGGTCTTCTTTCTCTATCTTTTTTCTCCCCCCAATCCGGCCCCCCCCCACCAAATTTTAAGGAGCTAGTACTTTAGGAGGGAAATCCCTATTCGTTCCTTTTTTTAAATACATCATTTATATTCATTATTCAGAAAGAAATACAAAATTGAATTGTGATTTTATTTCTCTTGCATAATATTGTTACAAGTAGCCATATTCAAATTTGACAATGCAGCTACTGTTTACATATTATGTACTGCCTATGACTGAATACCTCTACATTTAAAATATTGTTTCCATTAGAAAAAATATGAAGTAATAAGTGTCAAATGAAAATGAAGAATAAACATATTTGGTATGTTTATAAAATGCATAGTCATTTAAAAATGTGTACAAATAGGATACACAGTTTGCTACTTTTACATTTTATATAGTATACACATTGTCTAGAGTGTATTTAATAATGTGCTTAACCAAGTTAATTAAAGTATTTATGTCTGGTGATTGTGTTGAACACTTGGAGAGGTAGTGAAAGATACAGACAGTTACTTCTGCTAACTAAAGTTGAAATTATGCACTTATTATAACCTTTTCTAACAATGTGAGAAAAACAGAGTAAATATATTAAATTTGTTTCACAACAGATGCTTAGGTTGTTAATATTTAAGATGCCTATTCATGCTATTCCTGTCTGCACATTTGTCAAAAATGTAAGCTTGAATGCTAATGTTTGCCAGCAGACTGGAGCAGCCAGTATATGAATGTACTACTGTTCTACCAAAATAATATGCAATAGAAATAAAGGACTACTGCTAAATCATAGCACTAGTACCCTACAGGAGATCCGAGGTTTTTAGAGCAAACACCTCAACCTTGGTTTTCTTCAGACTTAAAGTATGAGTTTTTGTTTTTGATTTTTGCTGGTACATTTGACCACAGAATAAATCTCACATTTCTGACATCTCAGAAAAATCCACTTTAGATAAGAGTGTAAATTTCAACTAAGTTTGATCGGGATGAGTTACTCTGTCAGCAGTACAAACACCGTAAACATCAGAGATTGCTTAGGACAAAACCTGACACAGAGCAGTCACGTTTTACTCATTTTTACTCTCCCCCCCACCCCTTTGAGAAAGTCAGGTCCCCTGGCCTCCAAGGATGCAAACATGGAACCCCAGTCAGAGCAGTAAGATTCTCTCCCGGGAATAGGGCGTCTTTCTGTTTTCCCTGTCTCTTTTACAACCATGTGGAGTCCAAGTCTTAGAACATTTGCTTGTAAATCCGGAATGCTTCTGAGAAAGTTCGTCAAGGAAGGGCGCAGAGGTCAGAGCTGCCAACAAGGACACTCTGAGAGAGGACCCTGTGGTCAACATTTGTTAGTGAAATTTGCAACACCCCAGTTGGAGGCCAAGGCCAAAACCTTCAAGGAGATCCCTGTGCTCCTTTCCCCTCTTGGTTTTTTGAGGTCATCCCAAGAGGAACGTGCGTTTCCCCAGTACACACGTGGCACTCCCCGGACCTGCCACCTGCCTGCTTCGTCTTTCTCATCGTGATTTCCCCAACCCCGGTTCTGCCGCCCCGGGAGCCTTGGCATTGGATCACTAGGAAAAGGCCACCACGCTCTGGTCCGGACCACAGGAAGGAGATGCGGTGCGGACCCCGAGGCTGCACCTGTGGTGTTCCGGTCCCAGCTAAGAGGACTGCCCTTTCTTCTGCCTCCTGCCCAACTCCAAATCCACATTCACGCCAGCAGCCCCTCCAGGACCGGCCTCGATACAGCCAGCGAGGGCTCGAAATGAGGACTGCCGCGGCTTTTAAACTCCGGGCTCCAACTTGAGCGCCCCGGCGCCCGACTAGCTCCCGGGATGCAGAAGTTGCCACAAACTTCCCAGGCCCCTCTTCGCCGATGCTTACAATCAGCCGCGCCGGCTGAGAGCAGAGGGGGGGGAGATGGACCGGGAAAGGATGCTGAGCACACTCGCGATCCGGTGGGAGAACATTTCCACTCCCGCAGCCCATTCCTCCAAGCACCTCACTGCCCGCCCGGCTCCAGAACGCACAGAGGCTCCCCCTTTCCCCATTTGCTTCCTTTGGTCTTGTCCACTCCCCTTTTCTCTTCCAAAAGGGTCGTACCGGTGACCTGAAGGAGTTTGTTCAGCCAGGGTCGATGGGCAGGTGTGACGGTGCGTCCACACCCCGACAGAGAACGAATGGCATCTTCAGGTCCCCCATCCCGGCCGCTCTCCCTCACTCCACCAGCCCACCCCTGCGAGGTCCGTCTGCGTGAGAAAAGGGGCTCGGGGGACCCCTGCAACCCTGCGCCCACGACAGGGGAGCCGAGCCGCCCCAACAGGGGACGCGGAGCGGGTGCTACAGAGAAGTTTGGACTGATTCCGGAAAAAGAGACAGAGATAAAACAGCAAGACTAGCAAGGGGAAAAGGGAGGCAAAAGAGCAGAACTCACTCAGGCATGGACGTTGGGGGCGGCGGTGGCTGTCGCGTGCGGGCCTGAAACCAGGAACGGCTCCCCGGGCGGGCGCGCCCGCGTCGGACTTCGAGGCGGCGGCTTCTGCCTCTTCTGCCGCCGCCGCCGCCGCCGGAGCTGCGGCTGCCGCGGAAGTTAATTGCAACTTGACTTCAAGTTGTCCTCTTTCCCCATCCGAAGTGGGCGTTTAAAGGGGAGAGCGAGGCGAGGAGCGAGCGAGCGAGCGCGCGGGGCCAAGGGAAGGAAGAGAAGGAGGGGGAGGGAGGAGATGCTAACGGGGGGGGGGAGCGGGGGAGGGGGCGGCGGCGGGGGCGGGAGGGGGAAGGGGCCGGCGGGAGCTGCTCTCGTCGGCTCGGCGGTCGCGGCGCCCGCAGTCTGGAGGCGCACCGGAGCGGCCGGGGCGCCCCCCGCGGGAGCCCGCAGCCACCCGGGACGCGCATCCAGCCGTGGCGCTTCGGGCCGGGCACACTGCGCCCAGGGGCTCCGCGAACCCCGCGCAGCCGCCGCTTCGGAGCTTGTGCCGCGCGGGCTGGCCGGCGGGGCGGCCAGGGCCCGGCCCGCCTCCCCAGCGCCCGCCCGGCTTCTCCCCCTGGCGGTGGGAGCCTCGGCGGCCGCCGGCGACACTAGGCGCACTGGAGCCCGAGCCGAGCCGAGCCCGAGCCGCCGCCGCCGCCGCCGCCGCTACTGCGCGCTGCTCCCGGGCTCCCTCCCAGCGCGCGGGCCGGGGTGTGGGGGACGGCGGGCTGGAGGGGCGAGGGCGGGCCAGGGGGCGCGCTCGGGGGTTGGCGCGGAAGACCGGACCCTCAGCCGCGAGGGGTAAGTGTGGGCGCTTGGGGGTGCGCTTGAGGTGCGCGGCACGGTTCTCTCGCCCGCCAACCCTACCCCCTCACCTCTCTGGGGGCCCCCACCACGCGCACCCCTCCTCTTGTCGCCTGCGGCTTCCTCTTGTTGTTCGTTGTGTGGCTGGGTTTTGGGGGGTGAGTAGAGGGGGTTACTGTAGTGTGTGTGCAGGCAGAGGAGGAAGTCAGGTGAGAGGCACCAAAGCACCCCCACCTCAACCCAGCCTACGTGGGGTGTATGGCTCCCCACTAGGGGCATGTGGGCCAATTTTTTTTCTCTCTCTCTCTCTCTCACTGTTCGGTCGAGACTGTCTTTCCTAGAGGGCCTCCTTCACTTATAGCCTGGTCTGTCCATCTCCCGTCATCCCACCCTCGTCCCTCTTAGCCCCCTATACAGGAGCCGTGCACCCCAGATGAGGAGCTCGTGGCGGAAGGAGGAGGAGGAGCAGGAGGCCCTCTCTTGAAGACCCTCACGCTGTGACCCAGCTCATTTGTTTAAATATTTATCCTCACGTCAGCAGCTGTACTTTTCAGCTCAGTGGAACAAGACGCCTAAGCAAGGTCCAGTTTCCCCAAAAGGCTGGGGGCAAAGTGGAAGAGATGAGGATTTTATTGACAGGGGACTTGGGAGAGAAGAGGCCAGGGAACCTTCCTAAGTGGAGAATGAAACTCAAAAAATCTCTACAAAAAGACTAGGGTGGCTAGAGGCTCACGACCGCAGGCTTAGGAGAAAGAAACTGGAACTCCATCAACTTTATTTCTCTCCCCCTGCCTCGCCTTCCCCCAGCTCTGAGGAAGCTAACAGGTCTTTTGTTTTATATTGTATTGCCTTTGGGAAATTTGCATTGAGTATGTCAACAGAAAATTACTACTGTTTACTGAAAGTTAAAGGGATTGCAGAAAGAGAAAACATAGTTTTTACTTTTCCTCTTCTTTGTACGCGTGTGTGTATTTGGCAAGAAGTGTAGTTAGGTTCATGGCTTGAACTACAACACGTCAGGTTGCAACAATGACTGTAGAGCTGCCTAGGTGTATTTTTAGAAGCCGCTCTTTCCTGAATTCCTTTCACACAAGTCTTGCTCTCTCATTAAGTCCCCAGAAATAATTTTATTTAGAGAGAAGGAAGCTATGGAAGCAGGAGGGAGATTGCTAAGATTTCCATCCTGCCAGCGCACAGCACTGTTTGCAGGGAAGTTCCTGGAAAGTGATTGTGGGCTGAGAATTCAGTTTTTCCTAAAAGCTCTGTTAGGTCCTGTTGTGTCAGATGGCTATGAATAAAGCACACTGGGAAAATCCTGATATCCGTGCATTCTTATTTTATCTTTTACACAGTGGTTGATTCGACTTTCAAGCCCTGGTGACAAACACATCAACTGTGCTGTATTTTTGTGTGCTTTTTCTAAATAAAGGAGAATACAGCATGTATTCATGCTGCTTTTTTCCCCCATCAATGGTTATTGAATTCTCTGGAATTTATTCATCTTTTAACGCATCATTTTATGCAGAGACCATAATTCCAAACATATAAGAATTTTTTAAAATTATGAGTTAGGGTTTTTTAGAGAACCTACCCTCCTTTTAAAAGACACAATGCCCACCACAACTCCTAGTTCTGTAAAGCAAAACAAAAATGTATAAATGATTGTAATGAGCAAAACACAGTAAAACGTTTTCCTTCTTGGATCACTTTCTGCCCCCACAGGTCCCAGGAGACATTAAATCCTCCTGCCTTAATTTACCAAAATGCTGAATTTCCTAACCAGTAACAATTTCTGTGTCTGAGAAAGACATCAGGTTTGGAATGGAAAAAAAACCCCACATTCTCAGTATTTAATTACTGCTTAACAGTAATTTATGGTAGCAGGCAGTTGATTTTCCAATTCTGAAAGCCTGAAATGAAGCTGAACAGAAATTTGAAATTTTTGAAAAAGATTTGGTTTTCTTCTTTTTTTACACACTTGTATACTCATCTGCTCCCCCAAGTTATCTGCCAAGCCCATATAACTGAAAGTATGATATGGTCCCCTGAGTTGAACCAAGAGAACATTTTGCCCCTCATTTTTTGAATTTGCTTTTTCCTCTAAATAGTCTTGTATAGAGAGCTCATGGGCTTTATTGGAATATAGCATTATGTAATTCTGGGTGCAGTGCATTAAATAACATAGTTTGATAAACTCTTACGTCAGCCTTACACCTCCGCATAGTAGGGATTTATTAAATATTAAGATGTTAATAAAATATTGTCGTTGGCCACAAATTTCATAGCACAAGGCTAAGATCATTTTTTCAGAAGAAAGGGGCATTTAATCCAAAAGTTACTTGGTTGTTACGGTCTGAATGTTAGCGTTCCCCAATATTAGGGCTCATAAATTAGAAACTAATATCAAAAGTGATAGTATTAAGAAGTAGGGCCTTTGGGAAGGGATTAAGTCATGAGGTCTCCACCCTCATGAGTGGGATGAGTGCCTTCATAAGACAGGCTGAGTCTAGCTACCTTGCGCCTTCCACTGTGTGAGGACACAGCAACAAAAGTGCCATCTGTGAAGCAAGGAGTGAGCCTTCACCAGACGCTGAATCTACTGGTGCTGTAATCTTGAACTTCCCAGCTTCCAGAATGGTGAGCAATAAATTGCTGTTGCTTATAAATTACCCAGTCCAAAATACTTTGTTATGGCACCTCAAATGAACTAACACAATAATACATTTGTGCTACTAGATTTTTTTTTAACAAGTCCAAATCTAACTTAAATGAAATACAAATCTGAAACATAGCAAATGGCCTATAGCAGTAGCTGGTATCAAAAGCTACACTGGTTATTTCCTTAAAAGAATAGACAATAAGATATTGCCTGCTAACTATTAGAAGACAGATCAAGGGAAAGGAGAAAATAGCATTGGCCTTGAAGAAACGTTTTTTTCAGGAAAAATGACATTAAAATGTGAAAAGACAACACAATGGGTCAGTTAGTCATTTGAATCAAAGAAATACTTGAGGAAAAAATATATATGTGTATTTTTCTGTTAAGACCAGAGGAAGTAGAGATCCTAAAGCTGTGGGTTGGAAGGTATTTTTAAAATTAATTTGTTCCATCAAATCTTTAGAGGCCATTCAATGCAGACATCTTGGGTGTGAAGGGGAACTTACTACTTACCTCCATTAAGGCAAGGATTTTTACCTATGTAATACTTACTAGAGAGTAGAGTTCACTGTATATTGTGCAAGTGAATGGATAATTTCAAAAGTATTTCATTCCATCTTTGTATACTTTATTATGTTTTTATCTTATATTGCACAGAATTAGTCTTCCTGAAACTTCCAAACATTGGTCTTCATTCTGCCAGTTGCAGCCAAACAGAACAAATCTGTTGTATCAGTCAAGATAGGCGATGTTGTGCTGGAGTGATGATTCCAATTTTTTAGTGGCCTGTAACAGCAAACATTGTTTTCTTGGTTGTGCCTTGAATCCATTGCAGTTCAGCTGGTCTGTTCCATGTCTGTCACTCCAGGTCTCTGGCTAATGGAACAATCACCATCTTGAATGTTTCATGTTGTTATGGCAAAAATAAAGATCACTCTGGAGGGTTTCATGCTAACATTGAAATGTTATGGCCCAGAAATGACAAACATCATATGGGCTCACAAAGAATTAACCAGGATTAGTTGTGTGGCTCCAAGGAATCATTACAAGGAGGTCAGATAGTACAGCCTATTTTGTACCCAAGAGTAGAGAGCTGTTGGACTCTCTACGCTTGGGTACAACTCTACAGACTCCTATTCTGGTAGTAATCCTTGTCCATGTGATACCCTGCCAGCTAAACCAGCTCTTCCTGCCACTTTATGGTCCCAAGTCCTCACTTTTTAGGGAAAACCCTGCCAGAGTAGCTACCAGCTTTAAGAGACTCCTTTTACTCTCTGTTATCTCCTTGAATGCAATGCTACAACCTCCTGTACCCTTAGAGCCCCTAACAAAGTGTGGCCTCCTATAATTTTATGTCACTTTTATATTTACTAATATTGTATACATTCTGTTTTCTCAGGATTTATTTTCCTGGCAAGGGTATGATAAACAGGCACTTTTAACAACTGTTATCTGGAAATGTCATGATCATTATCAAAATTTGAAATTTGGTCTTGAGTAGTTACTCCCCTTGTTGTAAACATCAAATTTGTTATATGATCTTGTAATACAAATTTTCAGAATCATTCATTTATTTATCCTACTTTTGTTCATTCAATAAATATTCATTTTCTACCTAGTAGAAGCCAGGCACTCTATTAAGGACTGGGGATATGGAGATGATTAAGAGTTCTCCTCTTCAAGAAACACATTTTCCGATTGGGCAGACAGAATAAAAAGTCATTATAATGCTAATAGAAGCACAAAGTGTTATGTGAATTCTTAGAAAGAAGCAAATAGCTAGCTGGCAGGATTTAGAAAAGTTCCATAGCGGAATTGAAACTTGAACTAAGTCTTGAGGATAAGTGAGACTTCTCTAGGCAGAAAGAAGAGGTAGAGAGAGGATATTTCAAGCAGGGAGCCCAGCATGGACAAAGACACTGAACATGACAAAACTTATTGTTTATGGAACTATAAGGAATTTACTGAGACTGGCACATGGGGTCTTTGTAAAGGCTGAAAATTCTGAAGAGCCTTGCAGACATTCTCTGGCGTTTGGACATTATCCCATACATCCGGGATTGCAAACTCTTACGTCTACTTTGGGCCATGCATGGATGTACATGACTAAAGCAGACCAAGTTAAGACCATAAGCAGTGGTGGGACTATGGCAATGTGAAGAATATATTCTCCATCCAAGTGGGATAGTAAATGCCACTGATGCCAAATGCAAGATCTTCCATTCTCCAAAGAAAAGCAGGAAATTTAGATTTATATGAAAATTTGAATATTAAATGTTGTCAACTTATCCATATTTTAAAGTACACTGTTAGTCATTTAGGTAATTTTGACCTGCAGACAAATTTTATATAGCTTTTGCCTGTATATTTCTAATGAAGGTCAAAGTGTTTGTTAATACCCATCAAAGTACAGTAGTTGCTCTTTATCTGCAAGGCATATGTTCCAAGACCCCCAGTGGATACCTGAAACTGGGTAGTACTGAAACCTATATATATATTGTTTTGTCCAATACATACATATCTGTGATGAAGTTTAATTTATAAATTAGGCACAGTAAGATATTACTAACAATAGCTGTTAATGAAATTGAATAATTATGATACACTATAATTAAAGAGACGATGGTCCTTCTTTCAAAGTATCTTATTGTGCTATACTCACCTATTTTCAGATGGCAGTTGACTTCAGGTAACTGAAACTCCAGAAGAGAAACCTCAAATAAAGGGAGACTATTGTCTATTTTATCTCAACCTATCCCAGAGCCATGTGCCTAAGACTGTCTTGAGGATATTTAATTTTTGTTATTTTTTAATTGGGTCCACTAATTGCTTACTCTTCCTAGCTGCTCTCTTGCTTTGATGACAGACTTGCCTGCCACTCAATAGTCAGAAATATGCAGCGACACCCCACAAAATAGTAGAAATAGTAGGTGTCCTTTCATAAGGCATGCTGACCATTTTCTTGTAGATTTGGTCCCATAGGTACATTCATATTCTTAAAGTCATTCAATTCACTGGACCATCAAGTCTTTAAGTTTTTGACAGCTTGGCTCTACAGATGATAACCTTCTTGACTAAAAAGAAGTCAACGTTCTTGACTTTTATTGTCTAACTTAAAAACAATAAAAATCATCAATTTTGCGTGTTCTGTGAGTTTTGACAATGAAAGGGCAGCATGAGCAAATTATTATTTTATGTGAACTTTGGAGTAAAAAATACATGTGGGCAAAGCCACTTTAAGTGTCCAACTGTCTGAATTATAATCCTGGTTCAATTAGTTGCTACCTATGTGACCTAGAGCAAGTATCCTAATTTCTTTCTGCCTCAATTTTCTCATCCATGTCACAGGAATGCTAATAGTTAGTAGATGGGGCTAATAGAGGCACAGTGCCTCAGAATAGAAAAATGAATTACTAGGATGTACGTGGGATATAAGTATCTACTCCTAGATGACATGATATTGTGCTTGGGGCACATCAGCCAAATAAGAATTATGGCTTATACTTCTGGAATATTTATTTTTTAATTGAGGATTTAAAAAATTATTTTCTTATTGAAACAGCCACACATATAATGGAATTAACTGTAGCATTTTGCATAAATTTTTAAGACAAGAATCTTTAAAGACTTTTGAGCTGCTTGGGACTTTAGAGACAAGAGTGGGTACTGCATTTTCTTCCTTCTGCTTCATTCTGTCCTTTATCAGGTTGGTGGAAATGCTTACAATTACCAGACCATATACACTAGTTACATTTACCTCAAAACTGTGAAAGTACTTCCTATTTGTATGTGCTATGAATGCTGCCCAAGTGTAGAATCTTTGCCATTTAAATGTTCCGATTTTAAACCAGAAATCTGTTGGGGTAAAGAAGAAAATTATTAGAGCATGACCTTAGGGAAATCAAGTCACAAAAAAGAAAATAGTTGAACTGAATTCACTTCCCATTCTGCTACTAAGCATCTGGCTTATTAATGTCCATAAAGGGAGAGATTTTTGTCCTTTTCATTGATAGTTCCTCCATACCTTGAATAAGTAGATAATGTTGATGATCTTGGGAAAGACATTTTGTTAAAGTCTCAGTTTTCTCAGCCACAAAACAAAGAGTTTGGATTAGTTGATCTTAAACTTTAGTGTGTATAGGAATTAAATGGAGTGTTTGTTTAAAATGCAGGTTCTTTGAGTTCATGCTCAGAAATTCAGATTTGGTAGAACCAGATGGCATTCAGCAATCCACATGGATTTGGGGCTTGGGTTGTAAGGAGCAAAAATCCAACTCAAAAAGGAAGTTTTTATTTTTTATTTTGCTTCATTTTTTGTCTCTCCTCTTCCTCTCCCCACTACATAAATTGGAAAATACAATTTAAGAACTGCTTAAGACATAATTAAATATAGATGTTCAAATAATGTCACCAACCATCTTTCGGTTATGTTTTCTTCTCTTTTAACTTTATTCTTAGTCTGGGTTTTCCTTTAAGGAGTTCATTTTTAAGAACTTCATTATTAATCTGGCTTTTCTCCTAGCTTACATTCTTTTGACATAGAAACCCCAGCACAAAGGGTATCCCTCTTTCTCAAATTTTCCAGCTAAAGAACTATATCCAACTTGACTGCATTAGATTATATCCGGTACCCATATCTGCACTCATCACCATGGTCAGCACCTGTGATTCATTCTTCAGCAGCCTTGGGTCAAATGCCCACCTTGGATTTGGGAGTACAGTCACACTACCCAAACCATGCGGGTTGGACATGAAGGTGGGATGGTTCTCCAAGACAAATTGCAGGTATTTTTTTTTTAGAAATAAGAAAATGGATGCTTTTTGGCCGAAACTATAGATCTCCTTCCACTACTGAGTATTTTTAAGAAGTATTTAGAGACAAATGATCCAAAAATGTTACAAAAATATAACCCGTATTCCAAGACATTGAGGCCTTGAGCCCTCGAGGTAACAGAGCAGGGCCTGAGAAATACCTAAGATGGTCACAGTCTCTGTGCCAGGTGCCTCACCTATTTACCTCAGTGTTTGGGACAAATATTAAGCATTTTCCACATGTGTTATTATATTAGTTTGTTTTCACACTGCTATAAAGAACTACCTGAGAGTGGATAATTTATAAAGAACAGAGGTTTAATTGACTCACAGTTCCACATGGCTGGAGAGGCTTCAGGAAACTTACAATCATGGCAGAAGGTGAAGGGAAAGCAAGGCATGTCTTACATGGCAGCATGAGAGAGAGAGAGAGAGAGAGAGAGGGGCACATGAACGAGCAAGCGAGGAACCACCACACACTTTTAAGCCATCAGATGTTATCAGATCTTGATAACTTTATCAAGAGGCAGCACTAGGGGGATGGTGCTAAACCATTAAAACCACCCCCATGATCCAGTCACCTCCCACCAGGTCCCACCTTCAACTCACAGGGATTGCAATTTGACATAAGATTTGGTTGGGGACACAGAGCAAAACTGTATCAGCTATGAAGGTGATTTATGTGCAGGTGATCTGTGACTTGTGCCGTGGGAATCAATGGATTTTGAAAATCAGTCAAAGTCATTATTGTATGTTTGAAGTGATACTTTGAAGTCATCTCAGATATACAATAATATTATTACTCTAGGATCTTCATGAGATAACCTGGAAGTTGGCTGATGCAATCAAAAAGACAAAGCCCTAGTACCAAAAAGTGGGACAAAGAAACAAGCAGGACCAGCAGCTAAATCCTGCTTTGATTTGGTTATCGGTTTGTGTTTATTTAATAATCTTGGGCAAATGTATTCACCTAATTAATATAGTCCCATCCTAGATCCCAGCATGCCTGGTTCCCATTATGTTTGAAACATATATAGATGCACATTGTAGAGACAATGGAAAGGAGTAAGCAGGTAACATTGTGGAACAGAAAACTGAGTTGATGTAGTTATCAGATAGGTCTTAGGTATATTGCATGTGAGTTCATGGAAGTAAATTTTAATGAATGAATTATTAACCCCTCTTTTTGTTAAGTGAAGTAGCTGCTATCATTTTCTTAAGTTCATTAATAAAATTAATAAAAATAAAATGTCTCCCTTTTCATTTTAGTATTAAGTCATTAGTTTAGTTTTAGATGGGCTTTTCCATACCCTCACCTCACTATTAGCTTCACCAGAGTAATCCAATGTGCAGAGAAAAGTGTTTTCAACAAATAATGCTGGAATAAATAGATATCCATGTGGGAAAACAAAAAACTTTTATCCTTATCATACTGTATGCAAAATTTATTTGTAGTGGATTATAGATCCAAATGTAGAAGCTACAACTGTAAAACTTTTATAGGGAAACATAATGTAAGTTATAGATAGACAAAGATTTCTTAGATGAGTCATAGAAAACAGTAGCTATAAAAATTAGGTAAATTACATGTTAAAATTTAAAACTTAGCAGTGTTATGTGCCTGTAGTCCCAGCTCCTCGGGAGGCTGAGGCAGGAAGATCCCTTTAGCCCAGGAGTTCAAGTCAAGTCTGGGCATTATAGCAAGACCCCATTTCTAAGATTAATTAAATTTAAAAGTTATGTTTATCTAAGGAAAAGCAGAGTGAAGAGTGATGTCTGGAAATTTCTGATTAAACAAACATCACTATTAGAAGGGCTTCCTCTCTTGTGCATTTAGTTCAAGTTTTTTGTTTGTTTTGTTTGTTGTTTTGAGACAGGGACCCACTCTGTCACCCAGGGTGCAGTGCAGTGATAGAAGCTGACTCTGTGAGCTTAAGCAAAGCACATTGGGGATTTTCATGCAATCCAAAATCAGGATGCAATAGAGCCTTAGGAACAGAAGAACTATTGAAGTGCTACAGGGAACCAAGTCAATTCTTTCTCTCCATATCTCATCTTTGTCTTTCTTCCTTATAGCAGTTCAGCTCCCCTGCTCCTCAGTTCATACAGCAAATCATGGTTTCCAATTGTTCTTCAGCCATGGATGCTTCAGTCGATCCACCCTGAGAAAAGACCATTTTCCTGTCTTTCACAATTTTCAGGGAAGAGTCTGATTGGCCTGGTTGGGTCCAGTGACCACCCTTTTTCCAATAAACTGTGACCAGAGACAGGATGGTGTTTAAAGAAACAGCATTTTCTTTTTTCTGTAGTAGTGTAGAGTGAAAACAAACTGTATCACAGTTGATGTCCAGTCTACATTTTCTCTTCATTAGACATGAGACAAGAGTTCACAAAAATTTTGTATTTGGTCACAGTTTTTAATGGCAACAATTATTGTTGTGTTGGTTTTCTACCTCTTTGATTATCTAATATCAGCATCTCTTCTCTGCATGTCTGCATATTGACTAATACATATTAAGGGCCATAAACCAAAATGGTTCATTTTACAAATGGGCACATTTATTTATAAATTATTAGCCAAGATCTCTTCAAATGCAGACATGATTTGTTCTAGTCTGGATATACAATAAAATTAATTTAAATAATTTTAATCAACTTCAAAGACAGCGAATTCCAAGTCAATTAGGATATCTTTAAGAACTCATATTTATTGAGTTAACAGATGGTAAAATTAAAAAACAATGAAGCTAATTTTTAAAATCATTCATTGAATTAAAAAATAGACTTATTTAACAAAACTGTTTTTAAGCTGTTTTTTATCCTAATATGCATATTTTAAGATTCCAATTTGGGGGACTTCTAGAAAGACACAAAGTGAGTTTCAGTATATGAACACTCTTCTACTGAATTACTTTTTAAAAGCTTTAGAACCATCTGAAAAAAAAAACCACTATCAACAACAAAAATATAAGAAATAAGAATATTTTGTGGGAGGGATGGAGGGTCTGCTTCTTCAATTCCAGTTTGCTCACTAATGTGCTCCTGTGGTGTATTACTCTGTTTTTGCACTGCAGATAAAGATATATCTGAGACTGGGCAATTTACAAAAGAAAGAGGTTTAATTGGTCTTAAGAGTTCCATGTGGCTAGGGAAGCCTCACAATCATGGTAGAAGGCAAGGAAGAGCAAGTCATGTCTTACATAGATGGCAGCAGGCAAAGAGAGAGGACTTGTGCAGGGGAATTTCTCTTTCTTGTGAGACTTATTCACTATCACGAGAACAACATGGGAAAGACTTGCCCCAGTGATTCAATTACCTCCCACCAGGCTCCTCCCACAAGACGTGGGAATTCAAGATGAGATTTGGGTGGGGACACAGCCAAACCCTATCACATGGTCTTCTGTATTGCTGACCTTGGCATATCTTGAGAGTTTCCTCTGCTAACAGAGTGAACATTGCTCCTGGCCAAGACTTTATTTCTGCATTTTAATGGTCAAACGTGAAGAGCTTCCCCTCTGATGTCTTCTTGAGCTTTGTGCATGGGTGACTTATAATATGTTAGCACCACACAAGTATTTTTCCTTTGATCTTTTCTGTTTTCTCCTTTATTTTCTGGTTGTAAGTTCCAGAAGCTGACTCTGTGAGCTTACAGGAAAAGGAGAATTTCATGGCAGCACACTGAAAGCATGGGTTCTTTTCATCTTGGGTTCCCATGTGGTGGGGTCACCTTGCAGCTTTTGGAGGTGCAGCAATGAACATCCCCATACATGAAGTGTACCAGAAACGCTGGTTGTTTCCAAATGAGAGTTCAATCACTTTTACTTCTTAAGGTTTTTATAGATGAAATTGGAGATAACACCATTGATACATTAGGATACATCATTTGCATTTTACCAGGTATTATTAGTTTTAACATGATGGCATATTTAGAACTAGAGTTATTCACATATAAATGAAGTTGTTCCATAAAAAAAAAAAATTGGAATACGTTTGGTTGCTCAATTAGTGTTAGAATCTTTACAGTGGGCACTCATAAACAGTGATGTAATTTGTTTTATGGTCCTGGAAACTTCTTGTCTAAGATCTGATCTTATTTTACATTTTAAATATTCCATTACTTGATCAGTAATGTTTAGAATTGTATATGCTTGTTTTCATAGACCAATTTATTACTTGTAATTTGAGTTTAAAACGTTTAGAGGTATAGAAACATTCATTGTTGAGATTACCGTATTAAAAATTATTATTGTGATTATTATTTTGAGACAGAGTCTTGCCCTGTCACCCAGGCTAGAGTGCAATGGTGCGATCTTGGCTCACTGCAACCTCTGCCTCCCAGGTTCAAGCAATTCTGCCTGCCACAACCTCCTGAGTAGTGGGAATTACAGGTGCTCACACCATGCCAGGCTAAATTTTTTATTTTTAGTAAAGACAGGGTTTTGCCATGTTGGCCAGGCTGATCTCGAACTCCTGACCTCAGGTGATTTGCCCGCCTCAGCCTCCCAAAGTGCTGGGATTAGAGGGGTGAGCCACTGTGCCCAGCCAAAATTATTTTATTGTTTTACAGTTGAAACTCTTTGGCTCCCTAGCCTCCTTTCCCCTTGAAATAATCGTTTTTATAATACCAATTTGATAATACGAATGTTCTTAGGAATGTAATCATAACAATATAGGAGACATTATATTGTTTTTAATTAATGAAAAATTGACCAAATGAAAAAATGTAGTAGATGAAACTTTTGTTGCAGAAATAGGAATCAGAGATAGAGGAAAACTTTATAACTAGTCTTAACATCTAAGGAAATGAATAGAGTTAAATGGATAAGAGGTAATTAGATGACAGATTATGGAATTCTAATTGAGAATAGAAGCTGCTTAATGGCAATAAACATCTTCTTGTTACACTACCCCAAAGAGATAGCTTAACATATAGTGTATTCTATTATTGTTAAATAAACATTCTTTTCCTGAATTTATAAATAAAATAATGAGTGTTTTAAAAATAGAGAAGATGGATCAGAAGTAAAAATTAAAGTTATCATAAAAGTAAACTTTCCATATCTAACAATTACATTGACATTGTAAGGTTTCTTTGGAGCAAAATTAGGGAATAGAGATAAATGCAAGACATAAGTAAATAAAATTTTAAATTTCTGGGACGAAGAAAATTTCTTAAAGTACATGTGAAGGAAAAACATAAATGCTTTTGTAGATTGTCTTCATCTTTCTTATATAGAAGAAGAACTTTTTAAAGAACACAGGTAAATGTCTACATAATTTTAAGAGAAACAAGTCTGAAGTATGCTAGAAACTGGTTATTTCTGTATGAGAGTTCAATGACTTCTTCTACTTTGTGACATTTTATAAATGGAATTGGAGATAACACCAGTGATGCATTAAGCTACATCATTTGCATGGTATCAGCTAGCATTAGTTTTAACACGATGGTATATTTGGAACTAGACCTATTTGTGTAGAAATGGAGTTGTTCCATAAAAAGTTGTACGACTACCCAATTATCAACTTATGCATAAAAGCAACAGAATAACAAAGTCTTCCAGGCATCAGAGAATATAATAACCGAAACTCTTTTCTGCAAAAATTGCAGAGAAATATTGTCCAGATCACTGAGAGGTGAGATAGTATAAAAACTCAAGAATAAGGAACTCCAGTTTAAAAGATTAATACTAAGCCTTGAAGGCAAAGACAAAATAAGTGAAGTTTAGTGAAATCAAAGTGAATTGAGAATTGATGCTGATAGCTAGATATTTTTTACTAAGGGAGTAATGTTTTCAATAAAATAATTTTGTAGGGTTTTACATTTTTAAATAAAGCATCTATACCTAGTGATCACAATGTGGAAAGAGAAGATGAAGGAAATGAAAGCATTACAAGAAGCAGCATTGTTGCTTTATTTTCAAGTCATTGAATAAGAATGCATATAACGATAGTTATAGACAATTTAATGTAGGCACTAGTTGAATTGAAAACAGGCTATTTTCTAAATAATTATCAAAGATAAAAAACAAACATAGTTCATTAAAAGACAAAATGGAAAGAACACAATAAGGAACTATTGAAGAAAAGAAAGTTTATGTCCAATCAAACTTAAAAATATGAGAATTATAAATGGCTTAAATTTTCCTATTCAAATGGAAAGATCCTTAGATTAAATTAAAATGAAAGTCTAATGATTTGGTGGTGCTTAAAAAAAGTCATACTTAAAGAAAAAGGACACAGAAATGTTTTTTAATGGCAAAGCTTTTTCTAGCCTAACATGTTCACATCCAAATCAGAAATAGCAATATGAATATCAGACAGTGTGACCTGGGACAAGTTATTGACTTTTTGTTTCTAAGTTTGTCCTGTAAAATGAAAGTAATTGTAGCAACTACCTAATAATGTGATTGTAAGGATTAAATTATTTAGAACACTATTTATTCCTTGGAAAATATGCAAGCATAAGCTATTTTGTAGTTATTGTCATTTTACTACCAAAGCTTTATCGTTTCAGAGCCCCTTGGTGACCAGGCAAAATGACAGTTCTCTCCAGCTGGTTCTCAGATGGGCACATCAATT